TGGTTAAATACACAGCTGTAACTCTCTTGTTGTTTTTAGGTAACTCTAATATGATTTCAGTTCACACAATGAACATTTAAGCATAATTACTGAAGATGACATGCAGGGTTTTAGTCTGCTCTTGTCATATTATGGCTGTATTTGTTGAATCATGTGTTGTAATTTTTCCAAGTTAAACTGTGGTGAACCATGTAAATACACACTCTTTGAAATTTGTGAAATTAAGTTATGTTATATAGTAAATCTTAAAAATGTAAAATGTGTGTTACAGCTAGAAAAAAAATGCAGAAAAATAGTAAGTTTTTTTCTTACTTGTTGAACTGATGTGGAACAGAAAAGGAGCAGAATAAATACAGAGAAAACAGGAAAGTTAAGTAAATCACAGTAAAAGCATCCCAATATATTTTAACCCTAAAATATCCTGAATCGTTTTACAAAAGTAATTTATTCAATAAATAAATGGACAGAGACCACAACGCCCCCAATGTTAGACCTAAAGTTACGCCCTTGATGAAAGGTGTGTGTGACAGCAAATATCTTGCCACTATTGCCCCTTTTCCACTAGCGCCTCTATAGCACGGTTCGACTTGGCTCTTCACGGTTCCAGGGGTTTTCCACTAGCAAGGATTTATGGAACCAGCCTCTTTTTCAGAACTTACTTTGCTGTGGTTCCAGGTGTACGCGGTTGGCCTGAAAACGTGATGTCAGAAGACTGTCGGTCACTGATTGGTCAGGGGGTGGAGTCACTGGTTGTGTCACAAGAGCTATACTCACAACAACCTGGTCCAGAATTTGCAATAACAGCATTACCATGTCCTCCACTGTTGTGCTGCAAATCTTTTCGGGGTCTTCTTCTCCTACTATACTTAATGATGGCTGGCAAATAACTTAATGGTGCTTAACCACCACCAGCTGGTAAAATGTGTGGCGTCAATTTTCGGGCTCTGGGGCCACCCAATTTTACAATGAACCCACCCACTAGAACTGTCATTGAAGCGTAATGAAAAACTACCCTATGCTGAACAGAGTTAGGCCATGTCGAACCATGCTGTAGAGGTGCTAGTGGAAAAGGGCCATATGTGACCAGGAGTCGACTGTTCAGCTATGTAGAACGAAACGGCCTTTATACTCTGAGAGCTAACATGTAATGCAAGATTTTCATTTAAAATTTTACCATTAACCATTGCCTCTTTACAAAGTTTCTCATGTATTTTAATAAAACTTTTAGAAGATTATCGTTAGACACACATCTCCAGCTGATTAACTTTTGAAGTGAACCAGCTGAATAATTAAGCATTTTAAAATCAGCTTTGTTCCTGTTGCAATTAGCTTTTTAAACTCGTTAACATAGTTGTGTCCACTGTATGTCCATGTCAGATGTCTTGTGTTTTTTCTTGGATAGAAGCTGACTCATTTTCACTGTAACCAAACTTACCTGCGGGTGCAAATAAAGTTGATTGATTGATTGATTGATTTTTATGGCTGCCACAGCTAAYTGACTTTAGTAAACACAAAAATGTGAATAAGTTGGTCAATTTTACAAATGCTAAGGTAAAATTTGTATTGGTTGAAGCTTTGAGTTATTCACAACACGTACGCTGAGTGTTGCCAGATCGCATAGAATTAGGCATAAAGGTATTTTCAAAAAAATGACTGTCAACTTAAGATGATCTTAGTCGTCAAGAAGAGCTAGGTCTTTATTTTTATTTATTTGTTAATTGGCTGCTAACAGTGACCATCCTTTTTAAATCAATATTTTACCACAGCTTTGCTTGTGGGCTGGTTTGATCAGTTTAGACAGAATTAGGCTGGTTGCTTTTTTACCATTTTCTAGCCTTTCTTCTAATTTCTAGCTAATGTTAGTGTTATTCTAGCCTGGTAAAAACCAGACCCTTGTCCTTCACATTGCTTCATATGAGGGTCTGGACTCTCGGCTGTAGAGAAGTGATTCTTGCTGGAGGCGTGACCTCTGCTGAAGTTTAAAACGATTGGATCGGTTGGCTGCAAGTGCCAGCTCCACTGTGAAGGAGGCTAAGCTAAGAAGCTAACTGGAAATCGCGAGTGCTGTAAACAACCCTACTGAGAGGAGAAAAGTACAGAGCCAAACGAGACGACTGTAAATGAGAGCTGCTGCTTTGTCAGACAAATTTAATTTAATTTGGAAGCCTTATCAACACTGACTGGCTTCATTCAATTCCTCCACTGCCGTATGCTGACTAACTAGCAGACACTGTGCAGAAAATTGACGTAATTCAAAACTCCGCCTTCTGTTTGCTGACTGGCCCAGGTAAAATAAACTACAAGAAGACACTGAGCAGAAAATCAACGTTCTGTTCTCTGAGTGGCTCTGATGAAATTCTCCTGAAGAAATCCTTGTCTATGGGAKAAATTCCAGACGAAKCAGTGAAGGGAAACTAGAATTGAGCAGAACTGCGGAGGAAGGCAAGGGCCAGGCTAGTGTTATTCATGTTGTGTGGCTAGTTTCTGACCCTAAACATACAAAAAGTGCCTTTTCATCAGAATACGACTGACCACGTGTCCAAAAATGTCCAA